CCTTAGGTTATATAATCTGTTCAAAGTATTTGAGGAGCTCAATATAAAAGACTACAGTCGGGTGCAGTGGCTCAAGCCTGTAAGCCCAGCACTTTGAGAGGCAGAGGCGAGAGGATTGCATGAACCCAGGGTTTGAGACCAGCCAGGGCAACTTGGCGACATCTCATCTCTACAAAAGATAAAAAATAAATAAATAAAATAAAAATAAAAGACTACAGATCTTCTAGTGCTCTAGATAATTTAGGATTTCTATTCAAATATCAAGCAAACCAACACAGAATCTGTCCATAAAAGTCCATGTAGATTCTCTTCAAGGTCAAGGTATGTTTAGAATACACATTTTTTTCCTGTTTTCTGAGTCCTTCTTTGGCATTATAAAAAAAGGAAAGAAATAGAAGATGTGCAAAAAGATAAAATGGAAATTAAACAATTTAACAAAACACAAACAAAAACTATAACTCACTGGACAAGCTCAAAAGTACACTGGGTATGAAAGAAGAACCCATGAACTGAAAGAAAAAAAGTGAAAAGAAATTAATCAATATGAAAAACAGAAAGACAAGAAAAAAGGGGGAAAAAAAAGACGAGAGCATGAGAGACCTGTAACAATAACAAAAGACTTACTACTCATATTATTGGAGTTCCAGAAAGAAGTAAGAGTAAGGATGAAAAAAACATTTAAAGAACTAATGGTTGAAAATTCCTCAAATTTGACAAAGGGAATAAATCTACAGATCAAAAAGTTGAGCAAACACCAAACAAGATTTTAAAATTCCATGTCATATATCCTGTGATCAAATTTCTGAACACTGTATAGACCAAAAAAACCCCAATTTTGAATGCAACTTGAAAGAAATGGTGCATAAGAAACAGTTAACTGGAGGATAATGGTAGCAAATTTTTCACCTGAAGTCATGGTGGATAAAAGAAACAGACATGTTTCTCAAGTACTAAAAGAACTGCCAGCCCCAAATTCTATATCCCACAAAATATCCTTCAAGAATGAAAAGAACATAAAGATACTTTTAGAGAAAGGAAAACAAAGAACATTTGTTACCAGGAGACCTACTGTAGAAGAAAAGCTACAGGAAGTTTGCCAAACAGAAATGTAACATTAACAGAAGAAAGTTTAGGATTTCAAAGGGAATAAAGAATGGAATAGTAAAAAGGTCAACGAGCAAGTTTCATAATATGCTTGTGAGTTGAAGCAAAAATAACATCTTCCAACATGGTACTCATCTTTTGAAGAAAAATTACCTAAGACAATCATATTCATAGGTAAGGTAAAAAGGGACCTAATGGAAATAAGGTTTCTATACATCAAAGTGCTAAATTGTTGATACTATTAAATTGTGGTAAGTTATATACGTACATTGTAATATCTAGAACAATCACTAAAAAGACAAGAGATATTCTAAAAGTCACTATAGATATATCAAATGGAGTTCTAAAAATGTAGAAGACAAAAAAAAAAAAAAAAAAACCACAACAACAACAACAACAAAAAACCAAGAAACAAGAAACAGGGAATACTAAAAAATCTAATAATAAAATAGCAGACATAAACACTAACATATCAATAATTATTATACATTTAAATGGTTTAAATATACAATTAAGATACAGACATAAGCAAAATGGATATAAAATCACAACCCAAGTATATGGTGTTCACAAGAAACTTACTTCTTATATAGTAGTTATAGATAAGGTTTTTAAAAAAATTATAAAAATAGATAAACCATGCAAACAACCAAAAAAATGCTAGAGACCACAGGAAAATCAGATAGAGAATTGACAAGAAAATTAACAGGAGCAAATAAGAACATTACAGAATAATAAAAGGATCAATACACCAAGCATTAGCAACCCTTCATGTGTATGTACCAAACAACAGAGCTTTAGATTTTATGAAGCAAAAAAACTGATAGAACTTAAAGGAGAAATGGATAATTTTGTAATTGTAGTTCAGGATTTCAACACCCCTCTGTCAGCAATTGAGAGAAATACTAGACAGAAAATCAGCAAGGATATAGCAGACCTAAATAATACCACCAACCAACAGGATCATACGAACATTTGTAGAAACTCTCAACCAATGACAGCAGAACACACATTCTTCCTAAGCAGGTACACAAAACAAGATAGCACCATATCCTGTCTGGGTCATTAAGGAAAAGTCAATAAATTTAAACATTAAGATCAAATGTGAAACAAGCCAGGCTCGGAGGCTCAGCCTGTAATCCCGCGCCTTGGGAGGCTGAGGTGAGTGAATTGCCTGAGCCTGAGGGTTCGAGACCTGCCTGGGCAACTTGGTGAGACCTCATCTCTACAATAAATCAAAATAAAATTAGCCGGGTGTGGTAGCGTGTGCCTATAGTTCCAGCTACTTGGAAGGCTGAGGTGGAAGGATCACTGGCGCTCAGCAGGTCGAGGCTGCGGTGACCGGGAGCGGCCACTCCAGTCTGGGCAACAGAGTGAGACCCCAACTCAAAGAACAAAACAAACAACAACAACAACAAAATGTGAAACAAATTAGAAAACAATAACAAATAAATAGCAGGGAGTACTCCAAACACTAAGATATTAAACAATATGGTTCTAAATAATACATGGGTTCATGGATTAGGGAAGATGTCTCAAAAGGAATTGAGAAATTTTAGAATTGAATGAAATGTAATTAAAAACAGAAAACCTTGTGGGATGAAACTAACAGTGCTGTAAGGGAAATTTATAGAACTTATAGCTTACATTATAAAGAAAAAAGCTTCAAAGCAATAATCTAAACACTCATCTTGAAAAAATCAGTAAGAGTCAAATACAACCAAAGCAAGTAGAACAAAGGATATAATAAAGATGAGAGGAAAAATAAGTAAAATTAAGAACAGAAAAGATAGTAAAAACAATTCAGTGATATAAAGTGCTGGTTCCTTGAAATGATCAATAAAACTGATAAATGTTTAAAAAGATTAACAAAGATAAAACTGATACATTTCAAATATCAATAATACAATAAAGGACATAAGTACAGATCCTGCTGCCATCAATAAGGAAATATTTCAAACAACACTACAAAATTAGAAAATTTACATAAAATGAAACAATGTATTAAAAAACTAACAAAACTCACCCAGTATGAAATACTCTGAATATTAAATAAAATAAATAATTAAAAGAGAAAAATCTCCAGGCCCACTGGAGAATGCTGCCAAACATTCAGAGAACAAATAACACTAATTCTACACAGTCTTCCAAAAAACAGAAAAGCATTCCTTTCAATTCATGCCGTGAGGCTAGCATCACCTAGACATCAAAACCAGACAATAATAGTTTAAAAAAAAAAAGAAGAAGAAGAAGAAGAAGCAGCCCGTGGTTCCAGCTACTTGGAAGGCTGCAGCGGAAGTTCAATCGCCTGAGCCCAGATAGTTGAGGCTGCAGTGGATGTGAGCATGCCACTGCACTCCAGCCTGGGTGACAAAGTGAGACTGCAACCCAAAAAAGAAAGTGAAAGAGAGAGAGAGGGAAGGAAGAAAACTACAGATCATTATCACTCATCAACTTTTAAGAAAACTTCCTCAACAAAATACTAGCAAATGGAATACTGCAACATAATACACAAACAAAAAAATATATCAGGACTAATGGAGCTTATTCCACAGATGTGAGGCTGATTCACCACTTAAAACTCAATGTAATACATCATATCAACAGACTATAGAAGTAACATCACATGATCACATCAACTGATGGAGAAAAAGCATATGGTAAAATCCAACGCTTATTAATAACAATAAAAATCTCATCAAATTAAGAAGAGGAAAATTTTCTAAACTTAATACAAACTCCATGAAAACAACTTTTATCATCACATTTATGACACTGAACATTTCTTCCCCAATATCAGGAACAACGCATAGATGACTTCAACATCATACTAGAAATCGTACCCAGTGTAGCAACACAAGAAAAGGAAATAAAAGGTCTATCAATGGGAAGTAAGAAATACAACTGTCTCTAATTGCAAATGGGATTTCTATGTTTAAAATCAAAAGGATTATCCCAAAAGAAATGGCTAGAAATAATAAGTGAGTTTAGGAAAACTGCTGTATAGCAAAATAAGATCAAAACCAGACAATAATTACATTTCTGTACACTATCAAACCAACATGTGAAAATTATAAGTTTAAATATCAATGTCATTTACAATCACTCAAACACCATAAAGATATAAATCTTATTGAAAAGTGTATAGAGTCTGGCTCGGTGGTTCAGCCTGTAATCCCGCACCTTTGGGAGGCTGAGGTGAGTGGATTGCCTGAGCCCGCGGATTCAAGACCCGTCTGGGCAACTTAGTGAGACCTCATCTCTACAATAAATTAAAAAATCAGCCAGGCGTGGTAGCACATGCCTGTAATTATGGCTATTCGGAAGGGTGAGGCGGAAGGATCCCTGGAGCCCAGCAGGTCGAGGCTGCGGTGGCCGGGAGTGGCCACTGCACTCCAGTCTGGGCAACAGAGTGAGACTCCAGCTCATCAAAAAATAAAAAGAAAAAAAAGAAAAAAGAAAAGTGTATAGAAGTTACATAATTTATAAAACAGTAATGAAATATACCAAGTAATATTTAAATAAAAAGACATACCATGTTCATAACCCAGAAGCCTCAAAAAAGCAAAGAGGCTGATTCTTAACACACTGAGCTACAGATTAACTCAATTTCTATCAAAATCCAAGCAAGAATATTGGAAAAATAGAAAAAGTATTCCTAGAGTGTACATGGAAACTAAAAGAAACTATGAATACCAAATGGACTTTAAAAAAAGAATAGAAAGACATCACATTACCCAATTTTAAGATTTACCATAACAGCTATAGCAATCAAGTAAATCAACAGATGGGAATCAAGAAAAATTCTGAGTGTTAGGTATTTAAAACCACATAAAAAGTGACTTTTTTAAAAGAAAAGCAAGACCTAAATAGTCTTAAGTGGTGCGACAGAATGTGCCCATTCATTTCCTTATCTCCTTAAGTATTTTATAACTCATATTTCTTATAAAATTGAATACAATTTTGTAGAAGACAGTATTCAATAAGTTTCCAAACCTGCCCTCACTATGTAACTTTTCTGCACAGCAATACATGTATATACAAGATGGAGTATCAAAGAAGCAGTGCTTGAGTTTCATTTTCTTCTCTATGTCACCTTTTTATAAAAATTCCTGAGATAACATTGCACTGTAAACTAAGAGGGATGTAGCTAAAGGTTTTCCTAAATGCGTAATAATTACTGAGTCTTTCTCCTAATGTAATTCATGGAGAATAAGGCTCTAAACTGTGTGAATTTCTATTATGATTCTTTAGGTGACAAGTGATATTCTGCAATAGGTTTTCTCATAGTGAAGACACTTGTGGGGTTTCTCTTTGGTATGTATGATCAGATGCCATATCCTGCAAAAGATTTTCCTCAGTGGTTACATTCAAAAAGTTTTTCCCCAATAAAAGTTCTTCAATGTTGACTGAGGCTTGCCCACTTGTAAAAGGTCTTCCCACATCTGTTACACTAACAGAGTTTCTCCCAGAATGCATTCTTTGATGCTGAGTGAGGGATGAGCTGCGACTGAAGGCCTTTCCACATTCACTGCACTCATACGGCTTCTCTCCAGTGTGGATGATGGAGTGCCGAATGAGATTTGTGCTCCAGCAAAACGTCTTCCCACACTCTATGCATTCATAGGGCTTCTCTCCACTATGAATCCGCTGGTGCCTAGTGAGGCCTGACCTGCGGTTGAAGGCCTTTCCACACTCCATGCACTCATAGGGCTTCTCTCCAGTGTGGATGCTGAAGTGTCGAATGAGGTCTGCCCTATTGCTAAAGGCTTTTCCACATTCTTTGCACTCAAAAGGTTTTTCTCCAGTGTGGGCCCTTTTATGCAGGATAAAAGTGGAGCAGTGGGTGAAGGCCTTTCCACATTCACTGCACACATAAGGTTTCTCCCCAGTGTGAATCCGTTGGTGCCTCTTGAGGTATGACCTGTGGTTGAAGGCCTTCCCACACTCAAGGCACTCAAAGGGCTTCTCCCCAGTGTGTATGACATAGTGGTGAATCAGGGCTGCACTCTCACAAAAGGCTTTTCCACATTCACTACACTCATAGGGCTTCTGTCCTGTGTGAGTCTGCTGGTGCCACATGAGGTATGACCTATGTTTGAAGACCTTGCCACACTCAAAACACTCATAGGGATTCTCCCCACTGTGGATAATGTAATGTCGAATAAAACCTGGCCTATCTCGAAAGGCTTTGCCACATTCTTTGCACACAAAGGGTTTTTCTCCAGTGTGGCTCCTGTTATGCAAGACAAAAGTGGAGCGGTGGGTGAAGGCCTTTCCACATTCACTGCACTTATAAGGCTTTTCTCCACTGTGAATCCGCTGGTGCTGGGTAAGGTGTGATTTGCGGTTAAAGGCCTTCCCACACTCCATGCACTTATATGGCTTCTCCCCAGTGTGGACCATGTGGTGCTGCAGGAGGTATGTACTTTTGCTAAAGGCTTTTCCACACTCTGTGCATTCATAGGGCTTCACTCCAGAGTGAATCCTCTCATGACGAGCTAGAAGGCGTTTCTTGTTAAATACTTTCCCACATTCATTGCATTTAAAGATATTTTCCTCTTCTTGAATCATGGGATCTTTACCAGATTCATGTGAGTCACGATCATGGACACCATCCCCTAGAGAAACTTGATTCTGTAATATCCCTGAACACAAACCATCAGCTGTCTCTAAACCATCAAGTTCAGGGAGCTTCTCTTTCTCGGGATCTATTGCTGGTCTCAAGTATCCTCCCTGCATTTCTAATAGCTTATTTGGATCCTTGGCTTGCACCAGCATGGAATCCTCTGGGTCTCCTTGAATTAGCTGTCCCCGAAGTGAGAACGCCTCTGTCAAGGCTGGCTTAGAAGTAATATGTTCTGTGTTCTTGGATTTTGCTTCGTCACCTGAAAGAAATCCAACACACAGAAGAATCTATGAGCAATGCAAACACAGAAAAAACAAAAGTACCAATTCAGTAAAACCAATAAAGTTGGCTGGGCTCGGTGGCTCAATCTGTCATCCCAGCACTTTGTGAGGCCGAGGTCAGTGGATTGCCTGAGCCCGTGGGTTCGAGACCAGTCCAGGCAACTTGGCAAGACCTCATCTCTACAATAAATAAAAAATTAGCCAGGTGTGGTAGCGTGCGCCTGTAGTTCCGGATACTTGGAAGGCTGAGGTGGAAGGATCACCAGAGTCCAGAAGGTCGATGCTGGGGTGGCCATGAGCATGCCACTGCACTCCAGCCTGGACGACAGAGTGAAACTCCAACACACACAAAAATAAAATTAATTAGGCATGGAGGCGTGTGCCTGTAGTTCCGGCTACTTGGAAGGCTGAGGTGAATGGATCACCTGAGCCCAGTAGGTCGACACTGGGATGGCTGTGAGTGTGCCATTGCAGTCCAGCCTGGGCAAGAGTGAGACTCCAACTCAAAAAAAAAAAAGTTGTATATAGTGTATTTATGTCTGTTATATCTATCTTTGTTTGTTTGTTTTGAGTTGGAGTGCAGCCTCATGCCTGGTGAAATTTTTTTATTTATTGCAGAGATGAGGTCTTGCTAAAATCACCCAGGCTGGTCTCAAACCCATAACCTCAGGCAATCCTCTCATCTCGGCCTCCCAAAGTGCTGGCATTATAGGCATAAGCCACTATACTCAGTCTATATTTTGCTACCTTCGAACCCCAGATTTGTAATTTCTTTTCTGGTCCTTGAGTTTGTGATTCCTTGGAATGGAATCCACGTGGAAAGGCTGAGCGTGAAGACAGGGTCTACAGTGGAAATACCTCCTCAATTCCAGACTGAATATACAAAGACAAATCATTATGGGCCCCTAGATAGTTTGTTCTAAAGAGGTGACTCTGGTGAGGGCTGGCCACACCAGAAAGACCAACCAGTGAGTAGAAAGCTAGGGCTTTGAGCCACAAGGTAACAGTGGAACCTTTGGAAAAGGGATGGGAGGGCTGGAGACTGATTCACATGGGTAATGATTCAATCAGCTATGCTTATATAATGATGCTTAATGAAACTCTAAATACCAGAGCTCCTGTGAGCTTCCAGTCTTGGCAATACTCCACATATGTACTGTCCTACAGTGATTCCAGATGGGAACTGAGTCCCTCAGGACACGGAAGCTTTACATTTGGAACCCCTTCAGCCCCACATTCTGTGTCTCTTCTAATTTGTATCCTTTGTTTATAACAAAGTTTTGTGAGTCTTTTTAGCACATTATGAAAGCTGACAGTGGTTTTGGGAAATTTCTGAACTTGTCGGATGCAGTCAGAGGATTTGGGTAGACTTGGCAATCTTGGAGGACTGTGTCCTTAACTTGAGTTTGGCTAATTCTGGATAGGAAGAGATCAGGGGAGGTGCCCCAAGAGAAAGTGGGAAGGGTATTGTTACCTTAACAAGGCAGAATGTACAAAGGTATTGTGGTGCACGAGAGGATGGTATTGATGGGAATCTTGATAAAGGTGGGAACAGAGGGGAGACGATTTCCAAAATTCTGACTTAGGTGACAGTGAGGATGAAGAGCGCCATTATAAGAATAGGACTCATAAAGGTAGAGCAGTCCAGTCACAGAAATAAGACAAACTAACAATGAAAAAAGAATAGAGATCTTAGAAATCCACTCACACACAGATGGAGCTTTGGTAGAAGGCAAAATGTACAAAACTCAAATTAAAAAAAGAAAACAAATTCATGGAAAAATAGGCATTTATCATTACATGACATTTCACAGAAGAAAATATAGATTGGCAAAAATCGTAAGACACTAAACTATCTTAGCAATGAGAAAAATGCAAATCAAGAGCAAAAGAGATACTATTTTGTGTTCATTTGATCAGCAAAAATTGAGGAGCCTTAGAGTATCAAGCATTAGATAGGAAACGGATCAATGGAGTCTCCCACACATTCCTGGAGGAATGTAAATTGATATAGCCCCTTTAGAAAATGAGAATGAGCCGGGTTCGGTGGCTCAGCCTGTAATTCCGCGCCTTTGGGAGGCTGAGGTGAGTGGATTGCCTAAGCCCGCGGGTTCGTGACCCGCCTGGGCAACTTGGCAAGACCTCATCTCTACAATAAATAAAAAATTAGCCAGGCGTGGTAGCGCGTGCCTGTAGTTCCAGCTACCTGGAAGGCTGAGATGGAAGGATCGCCGGAGCCCAGCAGGTCATGGCTGCGGTGGCCGGGAGCGGCCACTGCACTCCAGTCTGGGCGACGGAGTGAGACTCCAACTCAAAAATCAAAAATAAATAAATAAATAAATAAATAAATAAATAAATAAATAAATAAATAAAAAGAAAATGGGAATGATCCTACAAACTTGAACATTCTCATAGCCTGTAATCCAATAATTTCAATCCAGAAACGTTATTTAAAAAATGCCCTTACATGTGAAAGATGAACTATATGAATGTCCACAGCACCACTGATTGTGAGAATGAAAACACATGATCAAGCGCCCAGAGAATGAATGAATATATGAAGACATTGTAAGCAATTAGCATGTGTTTTATTTTCTTCAACTGTAAGAAACTTGAGCATATTTTTATGTTGAGTAGAGAAAGAATGAAGTTACAAAACAAGCAGAATGTTAGTGAAGGACTGACCATGAGAAAATGATCTAACTCTGGTATAGGAACTGGTCATTGCCAGAAGCAAGACCTCTTCCACTAGGGAAGAGAGATGCTACAGATGTACATGTAAGGGTTGATGATCAAGCAATACAAGAAGATAGACTTTATTTTAAACATGAAAAATTGCTGATGCATCAGCAGTATATATTGAGACAGGGGTGGCTGGGGAAATGGTAACAGTCTGGAACAAAGTTTAAGTGCTGGGGTACCTCATGGAAGACAAAGCACTGACCAGAGGCACAAAGCAGAGGCAGCGAGACTAGTTGGGAGTCTATTCACATCCCCTAGGAAAAAGACATCTTGGAATAAGAGTGTGGGAATAGACTTGACAAAGGTGGTAGAGGTGATGAATTCAGGAGACATGCATGATATGGAATAGACAGGACTTGAAAATAGCTGGATGTAGGAATCAATGGATACGGAGGTGTTAAAACAGCTGTCTGAGGTTGGATCTAGTCTTCCAACCTGCTTGAATGGCAGGACAACTCAATAAAATTTAGGAGGTAAAAGAAGTAAGCAGGATCATGGGTTCCTTATTAGGCCTGTGAGTTTGGGTGCCTTTGAGATAAACAAGTGAAGATAAACAAGTGGAGACATGGAATTGAAGAGGGGAGAAGGTTTGGAACGGACTCTGAAGGATTGAAAAAAAACTGCACAAAGTCACTCACAGGCTGACTTGGCAGCCCAAGAGACTGATGCAGGGAAAGACTCTGACTCTGCAGTGGTACCAATTAACACACCTGATGAATGGCTTCAGTGCCCTCAGCAGGCTTGATGTGAGACAGAGAAGTCAACTGTCAGCTTGAGGTTTTTAAAAAAAACAGGATATGCAAAAAGATATGGACAAAGGACTGCTTCTTAGTATCTAACTGAAATTCAGATGAAAGGTAGTGGAGGAGGTGGGAAAGAGTGGTAGCTAGAGTATAGTTGCAGAGAGAAAAAAGGTTCTTTTCCTCAGAGTTCAGAAGGAACTATAAGATATCATGCATTAAGATTAATATGACATGAATAACACACAGTTTATTTTGATGAGTCACTTACTAAGGCTTTTTTTGCATTAATATATCACATGATTACATCTTCAAAAAGCTCAATGACATAGAAATTATTGTTACTATCAATTTTCAGGAACAGACTGAGTAGATGTTCGCCAAACCATCTGCTCTTCTACTTGGACACAATAGCCCAGTCACATTTTCCAGACTCGTGGATCCAAGTATAGCTGAATGCGTAGTTCCTACAGGTGGAACATGAAAGGAATTGGTGTTTCTCGAAGGGTGTATGACTTCCCTTCTCTCAATTCTCTTCCAGCACGAGGATGTCAGCCTTAAAGCAACAGGTTGATGAAAGGAGGATAAGAAACCTAGGTTTCTCAATACCTATGTGCTACAGAGCTTCCTGCTGACCCATAGACCATGGTATGAGTGAGAAAAAGAGTCTTCATTTGCTAAAATACTAAGATTTTTGAGTTTGTTTGATACAGCAGCTAGCATTCACTTAGTCAAACTTTTTTTTTGAGTCAGTCTCACTCTGTCATCCAGGCTGGAGTGCAGAGGCATGCTCACAGCCACTGCAGCCTTCCGCCTCAGCCTTCCAAGTAACTGGAACTACAGGCATGCACCACCATACCCAGCTAATTTTTCTTGATTTATTGTAGAGATGAGATCTTGCCAAGTTGCCCAGGATGGTCTCGAACCCATGGGGCCTCCCAAAGTGCTCGGATTATAGGTGTGAGCCACTGTGCCCGGCTCACTTAGCCAAACTTATATACAAAGACATGAGATCTTGCAACTTTACTAGGGTCATGGAGATGGTGATGAGCAAGCCATGTTTCAAGATCACATGGTTGGAGCGCTGAGAGATCTTAGTTCATAAACCTCTCTTCTCCCTAGGAGTGGTGACAGGTATGATGGGGCTGGAAGGGCAGAGGAACCACAAGTCAAAGAGCTACAATGCTCCCCAAATCCTAGAGAGGCCACAACAAGAAGCTTCTCAAGAGATTCCAGGGCCACCAGTCTCCTCCCAGTCTCAAGCCTGCAGAGATATCCACCTGCCCAGATCTTGGCTCTTACCTAGACAGGTGCCTTGGAAGAGGTCTTTCTTGTCGGTCCACAGCTCCTGCCCATGTTCTAGCTGGTAGATCAGCTCAGGTCTGGGAACAGGACATCCTGTGCATGGGAAAAGAAAGTGGAGACATAAACTCTAGTGAAAAGAAATAAAGACCCTCAATCTAATCGGGGACTTTAGGATGAAGACCAGATCTTAGAATGCAGCTGCTCTCATTGACGCAAACTAAAAAGCAGGCATGTGACCTGGAAACCAAGAGCAGGCAATGCCATACTGCCATGGAATTTTTACTGCTAAGACTAAGTCAAGGCCCTTGCCTTGCTAAGCTATAGTGTGGCTAAGTGCTCTTTAAATTATGACCAGGCCATATTTTCTTAAGCTTTGGCCCCCTCTTCTCCCTTGGGAAGGTGAACCTCTTCTTTTTCTCTCTCCCTAATTTACTTTCTAAATAAACTGCATTTTCTAATCTAACTTATGTGCAATTCTCTCAATCTTTCATGTGGCACTGGATCGCACACCAGACACCCACACTCTGGCAGGCCTGACCTGACATACTAGAGGCCCTGTTGGGAGTGTGACCTAACATTTTTGGAGGTCTCATGCCTGGGAACTTGTTAGAAATGTAAATTCTTGAGTCAGTGATTGAGTAAAACCTGAGGTGAAAAAAAAAAAGACTAAATAAAAAACTAGTATTTGGGCAGGGCATAGTACTTGGGCACACCTGCAATCTCAATGCTTTAGGAAGCCAAGGATTGCTTTAAGTCAGGAGTTAGACTAGTCTAGGTAACATAGCAAGACCCCATCTCTACAAAAAATAAATAAATAAATAAAATGAAATTAGCCAGGTGTGATGACACGTGTCTGTAGTCCTAGTTACTCAGAAGCTTGAAACAGGACAATCACCTGAATCCACAAGTTCAAGGCTGCAGTGAGCTACGACTACACCACTGTACTCCAGCCTAGGAAACAGAGTGAGTCCCTGTCTCTAAAACAAACAAAAAACAAATAGTCATAGGATACAATCATGTATAAGGGACTGTACTAAATTATTTAAATGTGTACACCCCTCAAAACTAAACAATAGGTGACTGGGCACGTTAGCTCATGCCTATAATCCCAGCAATTTGGGAGGCTGAGGTAGGAGAATTGCTTGAGCCCAGAAGTTCAAGACCAGCGTGGGCAACATAGTGAGACCTCATCCCTACAAAAAACTGTATTAGCTGGGCTTGGTGGTATACTCCTGTAGTCCCAGGTACTTGGGAGGCTGAGGTGAAAGGATCATCTGGGCCCAGGAGGTCCAGGTTGAGAAAAGACTGACTGAAAAAAAAAGACTGAACTGTATTTATAGAATATTTTGGAGAAAAACCTGACATACTTTAAAAATTGTCTCTTGGCCGGGTGCAGTGGCTCATGCCTATAATCCCAGCACTTTGGGAGGCCAAGGTGAAAGGACTGGCTAAGCCCAGGGGTTTGAGACCAGCCTGGGCAATTTGGCAAGACCTCATCTTTACAATAATAAAAAAAAATTAGTCAGGCATGGTGGCACGTGCTTGCAGTTCTGGCTACTAGAAGGCTGAGGTGGGAGGATCACTCAAGCCCAGGAGGTCGAGGCTGCAGTGGACGTGAGCGTACCCCTGCACTCCAATCTGGACAACAGAGTGAGACTTCAACTCAAAAAAATAAAATAACTTTTTAAAAATTGACTCTGTTTTTTAAGAGACAGTGTCTCATTGTCACTCAGGTTGGAGTATGGTGGCATGATCATGGCTCACTGTAACCTTGAACTGGGCTAAAGTGATCCTCCTGCCTCAGACTCCCAAGTAGTTAGGACTAGAGGTGTATACACCTGGATTAATAGATGAGGTAATACTATGCTTCCCAGGCTGGTCTCAAACTCCTGGCATTAAGTGATTTTCTTGCCTGGGAGTCCAGAATCACTGGCATTATAAGTGTGAGCGCCTGCACCTGGCAAATACTGAATTTTTTAAGTGTAGGTGTCTTCACTGATCCAAGTCTTTTTTTTTTTTTTTTTTATATCTTATGCCATGTTTTATAAGGTTCTTTCTCTAGACCATGGACTAAATGAAGATTCTGAAGATACTCACAGTATCTCCAGAAAGTTTGCATCATTATCAGCACCATTTCAGTACAAAGAAAACCAGGTTTAGGCAAACAAAGTGATTTGCCAAAGAGCATAGAACTGGTGAATGGCCGAGCCAATAAAGAAACTCAGTTCTAGTCACCTCTGCTCTTGTGCTGTTCAACCACAAAGCTCCACAATGATGCCCAGAAAGTGTTGTGTTCAGGCAAGACAATGATAATCATGATGAGGGTGACAGTAATAGTACTGGTATATTCTAAAATAAATTACAGTCAATGACAAAAATAAAAAATTTTTTAAAACATAGTTCTGGTGGCAGCAGGGATCCCTATGGCTTTCCTACACACAGCGCTTTCATACAATAACCCATTTACCCAGGCAATGGTCCTGAGAAGTAGGTATGATAATTTCTCATTTGACCAATGAGTACACTGAAGTCCACACAGTAACTTGCCCAGAGCCACATGGTTTTTAAGGAGCAGAGTATGGCTCCAGATTCTGGTCTCCCAAGCACCACTCTAAGGAGGAAACTACAAATACCACAGAGTAGTGGATGGTGGTGAGGCAGGGACATGAGCTGGAGAACTCATTCTCAGGGGCCAAATGAGAAGTAGACTGGATAACTCTAGACCTCACTGTTTGACGAACCAATACACATTTACAAAACTGAACATCCTACAGTAAAATGGTTACATAAGGGCATTTACAGGAATATCAAATAGCAGCATGGTAGCTCAAACCTGTCATCAGAGCTACTTAGGAGGTTAAAGCAGGAGGATCACCTGAGCCCAGGAGTTCGAGACTTTAATGAGCTATGACTGCACCACTGCACCAGTATGGGTGAGAGAGTGAGACCCTGTCACCAATTTAAATAAATAAATAACAAATAGCACCTAGTCACATCAACATTTCACAAAAAGAGGACTTAACAATTTAAAGTGACAGTTTCATAAAATGAAGGTTTCTTCTGTATTGAAAAAGTTAAACTAGATGAGGGACTCACTGTAGTTGCCAAATTTCCCTTACTTTGCTGGGGATGCTGTAAGAATAAGTGAATTATGAATAGTACCTGGAACAGGTCTGACATCCAGTCAGTGCTATAGGGATCTGAACTGTACCCATTGCTTTTCTTTCTTTCTTTTTTATTTTTTTGAGTAAGATCTCACTCTGTCACCCAGGCTGGAGTGCAGTGGCATGATCATGGCTCTCACTGCAGCCTCAACTTCCTGGCCTCAGGCAATACTTCCACCTCAGCCTCTTGAGTAGCTGGGGCTACAGGTATGTGCCACCATGCTGGTTAATTTGATCTTTTTTGTAGAGATGCAGTCCCGCCATGTTGCCTAGGCTGGTCAAATTCTTGGGTTCAAGCAATTCTCCCAACTCAATCTTGCAAAGTGCTGGGATTATAGGCATAAGCCGCCATGCCCGGTCCATTGTTTTTCTTGAAAATGATCCACTTTTTATTTTGCTCAGATTTCTTCAAAAAGGGAATTCTGCATCACTCTGGAAAACCCAGAGTCATCTGTCTTGATATTAGATCACCATGGAAATGTGGAAATAAATCCAAACAATATTGTTCAGTCCCTGCAAGCTCGTGCTGCCTGCTCAAGGCTGTGAACCTGAGGCTGCCCCCCTGTAAACAAGGGAAATGAGGCCAGGTGTGGAGGCTCATGTCTGTAGTCGATGCCAGAAGTTCAAGACTACCCTGGACAACACAGTGAGACAAAGGAAGGAAGGAAGGGAGGAAGGTAGGGAGGGAGGGAGGAAAGGAGGAAAGGGAGGGAAGGGAAGAAAAGGAAAGAAAGGGAGGAGAGAAAGGAAAGGAAGGAAAGAAGAGAGAAAGAGGGAGGGAGGGAGAAAAGGAAATAAAGAGGGCAATGAGCAAAAGCATGAGTGATATTCAGATGTTCAGATTCAGCACTAAACCCAGACTTTCCCTCAAAATACTCAGGAGGCAGGAAAGAGAAGGAATAAAGGAACGGCTTCCTCAGGGTGTCCCTCAGTGCCAGGTGATGAAGTGTCCAGGCTCAGTATAGCTGACATTTATGTCTAGATCACTATGCTTGGGGAAAGAAGAGGGACATAGGCTGTCTTGTGCATTACAAGAATGTTTAACACAGCCAGACATGGTGGCTCATGCCTGTAGTCCCACTTACTTGGGAAGCTGAGGTGGGAGGACCACTTAAGCCCAAGACTTCAAGGATGCAATAAGCTATGACTGTCCCACTACACTCCAGCTTGGGAGACACAGCCACACCCCATTTCAAAAAGAAAAAAGAAAAGAAATAAAAATGTTTAGCAGCATTCCAAGTCTCCTCACACTAGATGCCAGTGGCATCCTAATCCTAGTTCCAACAAACAAAAATATCTCCACGTTACCCAGCCTCCACTAACATGCATCATCATCCTGCTTGAGAACCACTAGCTTAGAAAGATAAGCTAAAGGGAGGAAAGCATGATCAAAGAGGGACTTCCATGAGATTGGATGGTCAGGAAAGAGCTGGCCAAGGAGGTGGTAATTGTGCTGAGAAGGGGTGGTCACGTGAAATGCTAAGTTACCCTGAGAACACTCATCAGCCAAAGAGAACAGCAAATGCAACGGCCTGAGGTGGGTGGGCATTTGGGGAAATAGCAAGAAGACCAGCAAGGGTGGAGCAGAGTAAGCTCAGGATGAAAGGATGTCAAAAAGATTAAAGTGGTCAATAAGGCCAGATACTAGACTTTGTTTTTTTAAAAACCATCATCATAAAATATCTAAATGTACAAATTTTTCTAACTCTGCTTAATCTGTCACTGACATAGAATTCCAATTCTGCCGGGCTCGGTGGCTCAGCCTGTAATCTAGTGCCTTGGGAGCCTGAGGTGAGTGGATTGCCTGAGTCCGCGGGTTCGAGATCCGCCTGGGCAACCTGGTGAGACCTCATCTCTACAATAAATCAAAAAATTAGTCGGGCATGGTAGTGCGTGCCTGTAGTTCCAGCTACCTGGAAGGCTGAGGCAGAAGGATCGCCAGAGTCCAGCAGGTCGAGGCTGCGGTGGCCGGGAACAGCCACTGCACTCCAGTCTGGGTCACGGAGTGAGACTCTAACTCAAAAAAAAAAAAAAAAAAAGAATTCCAATTCTCTAAAAATAGACATATCTTACCCTAAACTGGGTTTCAAGAATTGCTCTGGATTTAAACCCTCCTTTCCTTCAAAAGGAATGGCCTAGGGTGATTAACTTCAAGTAGAGAATTGTCTAAACTGGCCTTTACTACCTTTTACCATGCTGTCACTTGGGGCTGGATAATTCTTTGTTCAGGGGTCTGTTTTATGCACTGTGGAATGTTTGGCAGCATCTCTGGACTCTACCCACTAAATGCCAGCACCCCCTCACTAAGGTGTGACAATCAAAAATGACTGCAAACATTGCCAATGTCTCCTGGAGGGCAAAACCACCAACTGTTGAGAAACACTGATCTAAACTTTCTCTTATACTAGCAGAGGATCTTGGTCCCAGACTTAGGAAACATGAAATCACTAAGACACACAAGAATAAAGAAAGTTTATAACTGAGCCTGTGTTACTTAGAACAATACCTGATGGTACCAAGGGTAAATGGTTCCTTGGGTTCTACCTGACTCACCCCTTTCTGAAGAACATTCCATCACACCTGACACTGCTAACTGGGCAGTGGAACACATACATGAGCCAACCAGGCCCACTCAGTCAGATCCCTCTCTGAAACTCAAAAAAAGAACTTCGGATAGAAGCCAGTCTATGGTGGGCACTGGGTGTGAGATCCAGGGAAGGATGGGCTGGGGGGTGTGGTGGACAGCATTTGCTGGCTCAAGCATGCCCCACAGAAGCCAGGGAAATAGATAAGGAATCTGGAAAGGTTACACAGAGTAAGGACTGGGGTGGGTATGCCTGCTGCAAACTTGCTAAGGCAGGAAAAGTCATACAGACTAGAAGTGACATGAGCAGACCCAGAGAGAGAAGCCAGGACACAATTTTCGTGGTTCTCAATTCCTACCTCAGTACCTTATAATGTACAGCTGAAAATCTTACCTTTGAGTTCTGTAAAGCCCCCATTTCTTTGCACCACTTTCTCAAAGGGTATTATTTATTATACAAGGAGACAAAGGAATACCAGATAAGTAGAGATGACTCTAGAAAATTACTGAAGCTGGGGAGGCAAGGCAGGTTCCAGAGGTTTTCCTGACCAGACTGGCCTGGAGGGTGGAATGAAGGAGGCAGCAGGTCCCTTGCATGCGGAGGGGGAAGACCTTACCTAGAGATACCAGAAGCCCACAGTTTTCCAGCATCACTTCCTGGTACAGGGTCCGCTGAGCTGGGTCCAGCTGCCCCCATTCCTCCTGGGTAAAAGTCACAGCCACATCATCAAAGGTCACAGACACCTAGAAAACCAAATAGAGAAAGTAGAGTTCGCCCTGGGGCTGTCTTACATACTTTGCTGGAAAAGGTGCAGAAATATCAAGGCCTGAATCACTGAGGACCTCCTGAGGGCCCAACTCTGTACTGGGCTGAAGAAGGATATAAGACATTGTTAGGGTACGGACGGGGTGAAGGTGGAGAGGCAAGACGAGGCGTGTAGCACTCCCAGGGATGGCAAGCTGGAGGTGCGCGCCGGCAGCCCAGAGATCCGAGTAAATGCAAACAATTGCAACACACAGAGGTGAGAGAAGAAAAGATTTATTTAAGAAAAGTTCACCCCCCACAGACAGGGAGTAGGCCTACACTCCAGGTGATGTGGCATCATAGCCCCTCAGAGTCCTGCCTTAAAATCTTTCTCTTGGAGATGTTGCACGTGACTGCCGTGACTTTTTTATCGACCACCTGTGGATGTCTTGGAGAACCCGTGACACAGAGAACCATTAATGTTTGCCCAAATCATCATAGCCCCTAGAGAAGGGTGTGACAAGGATTCTAATTTTCTTGCACCTTCCCAAATGACATTCCTTAGAACTAATCGAGGGTGTACCTCCCCTTATCTCCTAGGCATTCTCAGTAGGTAGGTTCGGGGGGATCCTTGACTTCCCTGTAGATAGGGCCCAATTTACTGAAAGATTGAATCCCCACCTGCTCTCCCTCTGAGCGGTTATAACTTTTGTAATTACAAGTTTCATGACTTTTACAATCCTTGCCCAATGCATGATGTCTTGGGCCTTATAAATTCCCTTTACTTTAGGCAAGCTTGATTGCCACTATGAGATACCTCAGATACCTGGAAGTCTGTTTCTGAAAAGACAAAGTCAGTAAAGTTAATTATACCTAAAGTGTGCATTTCTCCAAAAGCATAGCTTCTACTTTCTCACCATTGTGTCAGAGTTTAAGAACAAGATGAAAATGGCTTCCCGCTCTCGGTCTGTCCTTTCATTCCCCACTCCTGCTCTTGGAAATATTCTTATAATCCTGGGAAATGGGACAAAGATCCTTCTTCTGTATCTACTTCCTGCTGAGATGGGGCATAGCATGAATAGGAAACAGCAGAACCTTAACTGAATATTATTTGGATCTAATGAAACATCAAGCGAGAGCATAGGCAAAAATTATTAAGAAAACAGTGATGAAAAAGGCTATTGCCCAACAAAAAAATGTTGGAAAAGTGAAAGTCCCATAAACTATATGTGTTAATTAACAAAAGTTGAAATATTCCTTTGTAAATTATCTATAGTTGTACTTTAACAAGGAAATACATATAGCCACTTTAACAAAGTCTGAAGAAAGAAAAATTGAAAACCTTAGAGACATGTAGTTAGGTTGTAGTTTAAATTGAGAATTCAAAAACAGGTAAACATTGGCAAGAGAAAACACAACGATTGATATGCTAGAGTGTGAAGCCCAGGTTATTTTGCCATTCATTCTATGTTGGATAATAATTCTTGTACCTGGTCTGCAGGGAATTCAGGAGGAGGTTGTGGGGCAGGTGTGGTTCCTGGAGCTTGCTTCTTATCTCACCCTAGAGACTGACTGTGAGAACTTTAAGAGTTTAAGTATTAAAGTTTTTAAAAGCATAATGTTACAATACAAAATCACAGTAGTTATTGTAAAAGTCACTTACTTAGCCAAAATGATAGTCCAAAAATTTTGGGGAAAAAAACCTTGCTTTTTTTGTAACAAAGACAGTGGGGGAGGGCTAGTTGAATTTTGTCTCTTTCTTCCCCCCTCTGTTGTTTAAAGGAGATTCTTTTGGAGATTGTTAATTAAGAAATTCATGTTCTGGTCTTTGAGTAGCATGTTGGCCTAGCACTGGTGTACTTGATATTAATGGTAAATTTATAGAACCTTTTTGTAGCCTTGAGTGTTTATAGAATTCCTTTCACTTCTTTTCACAAACTTTCACCTACCATATTCGACATACTCATACCATTTTTCGACATGTTTGAACCTTCTATTTTTGTTCTATACTTTCCTTACCAGCCATTCTAGAACAAAAATGTACCAAGAAAGATTCTTTCCTATACAAAATTTCTCTTTCCTTTATCCTTTCTTACCAAAAACATACCTCATACCAACAACCTTCTTTACACTTTTCCTAACCTCAGAGCCTTAACCAAAGCAGTAAGTTTATATGCAGTGGAAGGGCTTGGATAGGATCCAACGTAGAACTATCAGAGGAATCCAAAGCTAAACAAAAGGCACCCAAAAAGGCACAGTGGTGATGGCTCAGAGTAAAGAATAATACGAGTTCCAATTTTTGTCATGATGTCCCTTCCCAATAATGGAGCTGGACACGTTGGCATAACAAGGAAGGAGTGTTGAAATATTTTATCTCCCAGAACACATGGAAGTAATGGCATAGTGAGGGGCCTGGATATAATGACCTGCACCCCCACAACTGAAAAGGGTGAAGGAAGGAGTGGACCAGGAAATTCAAGCAGAGTTGAGCATATAGCCCCCGTTATCAATAACAAATGATATAACCCTGCCAGTTACTGATATTTCCACCCTAGGCTCCGTTGGTTTAATAGTTTGTTCCAAAGACATTGGGGCTACCAAGCCAGGGGCAAGTCAATCTGACTGGAGCAAGCCCAAGAAGAGATCCCCTTCCGAGATCATGCAAGGTGTCTGGTGTCCCTTATTTGCAGCAAGCCTTTGGGTCATGTGCTCTCCTCCGGCTAGGCGAACAAGGCAATCATAAGCCCAATGTCCATGCTGTTTGCATTTGGGACAGGGTTTTGCTGGTGGCCGGGCTTGACAGTCTTTGGCCATATGCTCATTTTGACAGCATCGGAAACAAACTTGAAAAGGTGGCTGTGTACCCCTTCTGCGATTGACCGCCTGGGGTGAAAGATTATCAGTGGTGGCTCTTTCTGCTAAAGCCGTACATAAAAGCTGAAACGCTTCCCGCTTATGTTTGCAGTCCTGCATTCTTTCCTCCTCTCGGTTGTTAAAGACTTTAAAGGCCATATCCAATAGTTCTAGTTGAGGGGTTTGTGGGCCCTTTCCTAATTTTTTGGAGTTTGCACCTAATACCTGGTGCTGACTGGGAGACAAAATACATAGTCAAAAGAGTTTGTCCCTCCAGAGAGTTTAAATCAGTATTAGTAACTGCTGCAATGTCTCAGAGAGGCAATTTAGAAACATTGCTGGATTTTCATCTGGTCTTTGAAAAATCTCTTTTATTTTGTCATAGTTAACCTGCTTAATAACACCTGTTTTCATTCCTTGTAGTAAACAAGAAACCATATGGTTCCCCTTTGGTCTATCCATGGAGTCTATTTGATAATCCCAAGCGGGATCTCGGGACGGGACGATCTGGTTGGGTACGGATTAGTTCATTAGCATATCCCTGAGCCTTGTTAAAAATACAAGCATATTCCTCCAGTGTAGTGGTTATGGTTAAAATAACATGGAGATCCTTCCAGGTTAAATCATACGACAGGGTCAAATATTGGAATTCTTTAGTGTATTTAGTTGGGTCAGTGGAATAAGAGCCCAGTTTAGCATCAATTTGGGATAAATCTGTTAAGGAGAAGAGCACATGGACTCGTGCAATTTCCTTTGTACCTGCTACTTCCCGCAGGAGAAATTGGTGAGCAAGTGGTGCCTGAAAGGATTGTTCGGACTGCCAGCGCCCGTAAGGGTGGGAAACAAAGTGCTTGGTTTCTTTACTCTTTTACTTTCTGGCTGGCGAAGTAACTCCACGAAGGACCTTGAAACTCCAACAGCTACGGTATGCCTTTCTGCGCCTTTGGTGAGTCATCCCTTTTTTTTCATCCACACATACATATTTGAATGTGCGCTCTTGGCCGTCCATTTGGATGACTTTATGGGTCTCTTGGGTTTCTGGTTCCGTCTTGGGAGACTCCTAGCAAGAGTCGGGGACCTAGTTGCTCAAAGTCCTGGTACCAGGCCTTCCAAGACATGGTGGAGCATACATGGTGGGCACAGGGTCAGGAGGACACTCTCTCCCTACTGACTCACATCCTTTGCACTGGTTCCTTTGAACCTGTTGGGGACACCTGGCAGGGGATCTGGATGGGATAAGGCCCAGAAACATCCATGATACCAAGAACCCATTCCAATAGTACCCTTGTTTCCTTTTACAGGAACCATGGGAAACACTCAATCGGTTGTGAAGAAAGATACACCACTGGCATGCCTTTTAAAACACCTTAAAGTTTTAAAACTCAGTGAGGATATTCACCCAAAGCACTTAATGTTTTACTGCAACACTGCTTGGCCACAATATACGCTGGGGGATGATGAAACCTGGCCAGAAGGCAGCTCCCTAGCCCCTAACACTCTTTTGCAGCTTGATTTGTACTTAAAGAAAAACGACAAATACCTTGAAATCCCATATATTCAGGCCTTTTATGAGTTAGCTCGCCACCTAGATATTTGTTCTTCCTGTCGCATTTTTATGTTGGCTCCTCAGACCCCACTGCCCATAGGTTCCTCAGAGGATACCAATCCTGCCAATTTAGCCGCTCCACCCTTGAAAGATTCCACACCTCCATCATACTCTCCTACAACTCCACATCCTCCAACCTTTACTTCTTCCCCTATCTATCCACCTCTGCCTATCAAGGGCTTGGCGTCTTCGGCTGGGACTCCCAAGCCCCATTCTATGTCTCATTCTCCTTTTACAACTGTAATAATAGATCCTTCTATACCCTCTAAGTCTCCAATACATCCATCTCCAGCCCACACTCATTTGGGCAAATCCTTTCAGACATTGCTTTGGACATAATAGAATCCTGCAAAGGAGAGAAGCCTCCTATGCGGGAACCATTAAAGAAGGATGGAAGACGATGGCAATGATGTGTGGACAGTGTGATGCATACAGTAAAGGTTGTAGAATATCAGGAAATAATGGTAACAATAGCAATAACTGTCACAAAAGCAGTGCTTGAGCCTCATTGGTCCAGTGCCTGCCCCATGCTGAGGGTTTCACATTCTGTCTTAAAGCAACTATTAAGTCCCCAGCTCTAAAATCAGATTCCTAGAACTGACACTTGCCAATTATATGACCTTAGGGACCTCACTTCATTTCTAAGCCTAGATCTCCAGATCAATACAGCAATTCCCACTTTACCAAAATGGTCATGAGACTTTTAATTTTTTACAGAGATGGGGTTTTGGTATGTTGTTCACATTGGTCTCCAATTCCTGGCCTGAAGCAAATTCTCACCTCAGTCTCCTAAAGTGCTAGGATTACAGTCATAAGTCACTACATCTGGTCAGTAGTCATGAGATTTAAAAAGAAAACATTCAACCAGGTGCGGTGGCTCACACTTGTAATCCCAGCACTTTGGGAGACTAAGGTAGGAGGATCCTTTGATGACAGGAGTTCAAGACCAGCCTAGGCAACATAGTGAGTCCACCCCCCTCCATGGGCCTCAGAGATATCCAGATTGCAAAATGAACCCTTAGCCTTTTTCCTCCCTGAGTCTTACTGGCAGGTATCTTCAGGACCAGGAAACTCAAGTGGCCAAGGATAATGCAAGCTGTGGTCATTGAGAACACAAGCTTATGACTGTCCACCATGGAGGCAAAATAAACATGCAGGGGTCCACGCTCCACTGATCAGGGCCTGAGTTGGGGGAAAAGAATGAGAAAAGAAAGAGACAGAGAAACAGCGGGATTGGGAGGGTCCTCTCCCATGTAGCTGAGAGCGAGAGAGCACCTTTTATTTTTACCGCATGTCTCCTATATAGGACAAAAATCTCACAAAGGAAGGCGAAACCATACAAGCAGGATATGTTAATGTCTGAGTTAAATCACACAAGCAGGGTAAGTATCAATGACTAAACTATGCATATCCTAACATCTATGCTAAACAAGGCAATCACTTAGGATGAGCAGGTTCCGGGCCAGAGTTGGGCTTGGCTATCCATAGAAATGCAACTAAAAGGTCAGGGGAGACAAAGGAAATGTAGGCTTAGCTCCTTGAACATAAGCCAAAGAACACAGGATCTTGTCAGCTTGTGTCCTTGGTTTCCTTCATAAACATCCAACAAAAGACCACAGGATCTTGCCCTTTCAGGACAGGTCGCAGCAGATAGAAGGGGGGGGAACTGTGGCAATCTCACAGGCCCTCTTGGAGCTCCTTAAACGACCAACATACCTCGTCTTTGTCTACATAGTTCTCTCTGCTTGTGTATCTGCTCCTCACCTCCAAAGAAACTGACTTGGAGGAGAGCTATACAAGTCATTTAAGGCATCACCTCCAGGACTTCTCAGCCAACTGTAAAAAAAAAAGGCTCTGATGGTTCACATACTAAGTATGAGTTTCTGCTACTTAAGTGCTATGTGACTCTGGGATGGTAGTTAAACATGACAGAGTCTTAAACTCTACTAATGCAAAACAGTGTTAGTAAAAGAATCTGGTCAGGTGCAGTGGTTCATGCCTGCAATCCTAGCACTTTGGGAAGCCAAAGCAGGAGGACCACTTGGGCCCAGGAGTTCGAGACCAGTCTAAGCAATGTAATGACACCTTGTCTCTACAAAAATCAAAGAATCAGCCAGACGTAGTGGCACTTGCCTGTAGTCCCAGTTACTTGGGAAGATGAGGTGGAAGGATGTCTGAACCCAGGAGGTTGATGCTGCCTGAGCCATAATCATCGTGATCATGGCACTGCACTCTGGCCTGAGTGACACAATGAGACCCTGACTCAAAATAATAACAATAACAGAACCTAACTCTGAGAAGATCAGGATTAAATGGAGAAACACATAGTGCTCGCTCCTCAGTACACATCAAAGACTCAATTAAGGCCAGTGATTATGGTTCCTTGTTACTACTTATGCTCTTTCTCTGCACAAAAGCCTGGAAGATCTCAACTCATGCAGCTTTCTAAAATTTGGGGGTATTTTGAGTTGGCATCTCACTCTGTCACCCAAGCTAGACTGCAGCTAGCCTCGACCCGCTGGGCTCAGGCGTCCTTCCTTCTCAACCTTCCAAGTAACTGGAACTACAGGTGCGTGCTACCACGCCCGGCTAATATTTTGATTTATTGTAGAAATGAGGTCTCGCCAAGTTGCCCAGGCGGGTCTCGAACTCGTGAGCTCAGGCAATCCTCTTGCCTCGGCCTCCCAGAGTGTGGGATTACAGGTGTGGGTCACCACGCCCGGCCTCCTTTCTTTTTTGTTTGAATTGGCGTCTCTGTCACCCAGGATAGAGTGCAGAGGTACGTTCACGGTCACTGCAGCCTCGACCCGCTGGGCTCAGGGGATCCTTCTGGCTCGGCCTCCCAAATAGCTGGAACTACAGGTGCACACCACCACGTCTGGCTCATTTTTTGACTTGTTGTAGAGACGAGGTCTCACCAAGTTACCCAGGCTGGCTGGTCTCGAATCCCTGGACTCAAGCCATTCTCTCGCCCAAAGTGCTGGGACGACGGGGGTGAGCCTCCGCACCGGGGCTGGAGCCCTGTTCCGACATACAGCCGGCTGCCATCAGTCTGAAGGTCCCGTCTCTCCCGAAAGACGCCTGGAGATCAACTGACGAGCCTGCTCCATTTCTCGGCAACAAAAGCGGCCACAAAGAGAAGCCCTGCGGCGGTCTTGGCCTCCACCCCGCCCCGGAGGCCTCTGGAGCCATCGAGACGCAGCCCGGCCGAAAATCCCCGTCTACTCACCCGTGTCGGCTCCATCGCCACCGCCGCCGCCGCCATCCTGCTACCACGCGGCCCGAGTGGGGCCCGGGGATGTGGCGAGCAGGGCGGGGCCCACAGGCTCAGCCGAGCCCCACCCCTGCCCCGCCCCGGGGGAGGGGTGACCTTGCGGCCCGCCGCCCTCGTCCGTCCCGGGAGCCTCACGCTTCGTTCCGAGGCTCGGAGGTTAGCCTCAGCCTCTGACCCGCTCACTCCCCAAGGGCCGCCGGGAAGCGGCCTCGGGACGCCTTTCCCTCCCCTCAGCCGGCGTGGACAGAACCGTCGCGTGCCGATGACGTCCGCCGCCGGAGCCCGGAGGTCCTGCCCCGAGCAGAGCTGGTCACCGGAAACGCCCCCGTCCCGGGCTGTCATTGGCCCCGGCGCCCGCAGCCCCCGCGCCGGGCAATGCTTTGTGGGTAACGTAGTCTTTTCGCGGCAAACAGGCCCCCAGCGGGGCGTGGTCTTCGGTCGGTCCTCCCCCGGGTGGAAGACGCAGCCGGACGTACCTGTGGGGGCACTTGGTCTCGAACAGGCAAATTGGGACCAGAGAGAAGGCCCAAAGTTTGCCTGTACGGTGCCCACCTGGATACCTCAGCCTGAATTGTATCCCACATCTTTGAAGTAAAATAGGGCCTAGCGCGCTCACGCCTACAGTCCCAGCACTTTGGGAGGCCGAGATGCGAGGATTGCCTGAGCCCAGGGTTCGAGACCAGCCTGGGCAATTAAATCAAAAAATTAGCAGGTCGAGGCTGGGGTGACCGTGAGCGTGTTACTGAGCTCCAGCCTGGGCGACAGTGAGACTTCTAATCAAAAAAATATAAAGTAGCCGTGCTTGGTGGCTCAGCCTGTAATCCTGCGCTTTGGGAGGCTGAGGTGAGTGGATTGCCTGAGCCCGCGGGTTCGAGACCCGCCTGGGCAACTTGGCGAGACCTCATCTCTACAATAAATAAAAAATCAGCCAGCGGAAGGATCGCTGGAGCCCATCAGGTCGAGGCTGCGGGTGGCCGGGAGCGGCCGCGGCACTGCAGTCTGGGTGACAGAGTGAGACTCCAACTAAAAAATAAATAAATAAATAAATATAAATATTATATATTATATAATGTATAAAATAAAATATAATAAAATAAAATGTAAAAAAAAAAGCCAGGCATGGTGGTTCACGTCTGTCATCCCAGCATTTTGGGAGGCCGAGATGCGAGGATTGCCTGAGCCTAGGGTTCGAGACCCGTCTGGGCAACTTGATGAGGCCTCATCTCTACAATAATTTAAAAATTAGCCAGGCGTGGTGGTGCGTGCCTGTGGTTCCAGCGACTTGGAAGGCTGAGGCAGGAGGATTGCCTGAGCCCAGCAGGTCAAGACTGGGGTGGCCATGAGCTTGTCACTGCACTCCAGCCTGGGTGACAGTGAGACTTCTAACAAAATATATATATATAAAATAAAATGTAAAATAATTAATTTTTTAAAAAAGCCAAGCGTGATGGCTCACGTCTGTCATCCCAGCACTTTGGGAGGCCACGATACGAGAATCAGCCTGGGCAACTTGATGAGACCTCATCTCTACAATAAATTAAGAAATTTGCTGGGCGTGATGGCGCATGCCCGTAGTCCCAGCTACTTGGAAGGCTGAGATGGAAGGATTGCCTGAGTCCAGCAGGTTGAGGCTTCAGTGGCCATGAGTGTGCCACTGTACTCCAAGCTGGGCAACAGAGTGAGATAAGGAAGGAGGGAGGGAGGGAGGGAGGAAGGAAGGAAGGAAGGAAGAAGATTCAGCCAGCCCTTCTCAGACCCACCTGCCTAGGGTGGGCACAACTCGGGGCTTCCAGGGGGCAGCAGTGAGTCTGTTCATCCTTTGCCCCAGAAGATCTTAGCTCAGGGGCAGGAATAAGGCCAGGCACGGTGGCTCTCACCTATAATCCCAAAATTTTGGGAGGCCAAGACAGGAGGATAGCTTGAGGCCTGAAGGTGGAGACCAGCCAAGGCAACATAGTGAGACCTCATCTCTACAAAAAATAAAATGAAATAAAAAATAAAAAGCGAGGCAGGAACATTTACCGGGACCAGGGCAGGGCAAAGATCTGGAACCAGCCCCACTGGTTCTGACTTCTACACTGGCATTATCTCCTCTCGCCAGCCCTTTATAGAGCATATGGATCAGTGAGCAATCAAAATAATCAGCAAAAGAGGGACGCTGGGAGCTGACCAGGACACAGTGTGAACACACTGCCCTCTCTTGGGCCTTCCTTGGCCCAGCTCCATATCCCTGCAGTTCACAGATTTGTGAGTTATGAATTAGCCTAAAGCACTGATGGAGTGGATTTGCTATTCCCTGAGGTGGGAGATTCGAGTAGCAGAATACTGGAGGAAAACTCGAACTCTAGCTTCCAGCGAGGTTTGAAATTATGGGAGGTCATTGTTTTGGGCTGAACTCCTACACTAGGCTCAAATCAAAATGGAGTCACTCATGCTAAACATCACTCATGATCAAACGGAAGCTTTAAGGAGAAGATAAATCCCAAAACAGATCAGTTTTTCCTAAAAGCAGGAGATTCCAGGCTACCCGAGTCAGTGTAATAAGGAAGTACTCTCTGCTTTAACCCTTAGAAGTAAGTAAGGTGAAGTAATCAGATGTTAACCATTCAACTTTTCTTCTCGTTTCCTTGTTCTCACCTTGCAAAACCCACTGTTTTGCCATTGCACACGGCAGCCCCAATTTGATTTTGTAAAATAGAGACAGCCCCGATTCATGAGTCACAAATAAAAACCAATTAGATACAAACTAAATTTGTTGTAATTTTGTCTTTTGACAACCCTGAACCCACCAGCATTAACTGGTTGCAGACAAGAAACCAACAATGTCATGTTAGAAATTCTGTCTTTAGAATTTTTTAATGCAAAGCCTTAGTAATCCCCATTGGGGACCTTTTTCTTCTTCTCATGACTATGAAGGCAAGAGAATAAAACCCAGCTTTCACTGGTCTTGAGGATGCATATGGTTATGAAAATGGAAACAGGGTGTGCAGAAAATGCCCTCATGTAATATGACAGCTCCCCCACCAGGTTACTTAAAAGTACATGTTCACTGCCTGAAACCTGAGGGCCAAGCGGTGAATTAAGGTCATGGTGCCCAGTCAAGGATCAGGTGTTCCTGAGAACCCAAACATCTGGAAGAAAAACAGTCTCGGCCAGGCGCAGTGGCTCAAGCCTGTAATCCCAGCACTTTGGGAGGATGAGGTGAGAGGATCACCTGAGCCCGCGGGTTTTGAGACCAGCCTGGGAAACATGGTAAGACCTTGTCTCTACAATAAATTCAAAAAATTAATTGGGTGTGGTAGCGAGCGCCTGTCATTCTGGCTACTTGGAAGGTGGAGGGATCACCTGAGCCCAGCAGGTTCATGCTGGGGTGGCTGTGAGTGTGCCACTGCATCCAGCCTGAGCGACAGAGTGAGACTCCAACTCAAAAAAAAAAAAAAAGAAAGGAAGAAAGAAAGAAAAACAGTCTCATCGCATGCATTAAGAGCCAGAAAATTAGCTTAAAAGCAGCTTAAGAATGGATGTGGGGTCAATTTCCATAGCTGTCCTGCCGCCGCCCGAGAATGCCCAGTATGTTAAGTCCTAATAAATTCATCTACCAGCCAAGCTGGACTTGTCCGAGTCATTCTTTGCTTTCTCGGCCCCTTTCGTCTTTGGGGGGAATGTTCTTCTACACAATCCTGGGTTTTTCTCATAACATCTCAAGATATTTATCTATTTGTTTATTGAGCTGGAGTGAAGTGGCACGCTCACGGCCACTGCAGTCTCGACCTGCTGGACTCAGGAGATCCTTCCATCTCAGCCTTCCAAGTAGCTAGAACTACAGGTATGCACCACCACGCCCAGCTCATTTTTTGATTTATTTATTTTATTTTATTCATTTATTTATTTTTGAGTTGGAGTCTCACTCTGTCACCCAGACTGGAGTGCAGTGGCCGCTCCCGGCCACCACAGCCTCAACCTACTGGGCTCCGGCAATCCTTCCACCTCAGCCTTCCAAGTTGCAGGAGCTACAGGCACGCGCTACCACACCCAGCTAATTTTTTGTTTTATTGTAGAGATGAGGTCTCACCAAGTTGCCCAGGTGGGTCTCGAACCCGCGGGCTCAGGCAATCCACTCATCTCAGCCTCCCAAGGCACGGGATTACAGGCTGAGCCACCGAACCCGGCTTTTTTTTTTTTTTTTAATTGTAGAGATGAGGTCTCACCAAAATGCCCAGGCTGGTCTTGAACCCGTGGGCTCAGGCAATCCTCTCACTTTGGCCTCCCAAAGTGCTAGTATTATAGGCGTGAGCCACTGTGACTGGCCTACATATATTTAAGTAGTTGGTGTGGTAATAATAGAGATCAACCCTGCATCTGCTGGACATTTCCCAGAGAGAAGCCAGTGCAGAATATAGGGATGAGAGGTGCATCAACAAGGCAAACTCCATATGAAATGCTTAAAAACTAGAGTCAAGAGAAGCACTGGTGAAAAGTTTTGTTACATTTGAGCTAACAGTTGAGGAGTCTAGAGGCTTACTCTAGTACAGTCATCTTTTTTTTTTTGACTTGGAGTCTCACTCTGTCACCCAGACTGGAGTGCAGTGGCCGGGAGCAGCCACCGCAGCCTCGACCTGTTGGGCTCCGGCAATCCTTCCGCCTCAGCCTTCCAACTAGCCTGAATTACAGGCGTGCGCTACCACGCCTGGCTGATTTTTTGATTTATTGTAGAGATGAGGTCTCGCTGCCCAGGTGGGTCTTGAACCCGTGGGCTCAGGCAATCCACTCACCTCAGCCTCCCAAAGGCGCAGGATTACAGGCTGAGCCACCGAGCCCAGCTAAGTACAGTCATCTTATCAGGGATGCAGGGAGCAGTCCACACATGAAACTGTGACAGAAGGTTTAGGGGAAGGATGGAAGGCCACTTCACAAATTGTCGCAGTGTGATTTCAGAAGAGGTAATGTTACATTTATTAGTGATGACTTATTCTGAGGCAATCAGAATATGACACAGCACACAGGTGCTAGTGGATCTGAGAACTGGGTAGCATTGATGTGCAGTGAAACATTTTATTTCAAAGACATGCTGAATGTCAGCACAAAGAGGGTGGACCTTTGGGGTTGATAAGAGTCCTGTTTTACAAATGGCATGCTCCTGAAAACATGGGGAATAGTTAAGTTGAATCGAAGATCACTGTAATACATGGCAGGTTATGTACCCCAAGGGTGTTTATGTGAGGAAAGTAGGCACTAGTTTTTAAGGAAACTGAAGCCGTCATCTCAGAAGCCCAGTGGAGAGGTGATGCATAATTTTTGCAGCTCTCGTGGGAAAGAGTTACCACAAGAAATAAATATTCTGCCCAGTCACACGTAATTACAAAAACCTGGTGCAAGATTAGCCAGCTTTTATTAATTAGCATCTTACATCTTAAAAAAGAGGAAACAAAGACAAATGAGGTAGCAGAGCCAGGAGAGCTCCCTGAACAAACACAAAGGAACAGAAAGAAGCAGGCAGGGCTCAGGAAGCCATCTGAGCACTGGGAGGCAGCACCCTCCGGGAGTGAACCTGGACCCAGGGGTGCTCCATGATCTGGGCCAGAGGCAGTCGCTCCAAGGGTTGGTATCTGAGAAGCTTCGAGATCAAGTCCTGGGCCCCCAAGGGCAATGATAGGGGAAATCTCACATCCACCTGACAGGACCAGGAAAGAAGAAACAGAAGTCTGGTTAATTTCTTGGGTCTTCAAGGCACTGTCCTGGACCCTGTGTGTGTGCCCTAGTCCCACAGCCTAGCAGCCATCACCCACCAGTTCCCTCACTAGTGCCCAAAGTGTGGCCATCCCACCTTGAGGATGCGTCTGTAGGTCTCATTATGGGAGGGGCTCTCAAAGGGTGGATTTCCCACCAGCAGCTCATAGCAGAGCACCCCAATACACCACAGATCCACCTTCTCATCGTACGTTCTCCCCTCAATCATTTCTGGGGGCAAGTAGTCCAGAGTCCCACACATTGTCTTTCTCCTAGAGGAGGGTAGAGAAGGGAGCACTTAGTAGAGGCCCAAAATGAGGAAAATCCTCCTTTTTCAGCTTCCAACGAGGTGAGAGACTTTAGGACATCCAGGACAGTCTTCTCCTGAGTACGGGGCCTGGAGAGACAAACTCTTTTAATATGGATCACGGTTCAGAGAAGACAAGTACTAGCACCTACTAAACCCATATTTTAGCATGATTTATACGATTATTTAGCTCATAATCCAGAATTTTTTCACAAGAATATTCTCAGCATCAAAGAACTGAAACATATGGATGGTGTATCCAGAAGGACAAAGTAAACTAAGGCATGAAAATTTCTGTATGAAAGTTATTCGTACAGAAAAATTCACTCCTGAAACAGTGAAGCAATGAGTATTAATTTATTTACATGCAAACTTATTGCTAAAGTTATATATTGCCAGGTGTGGTGGCTCATGCCTATAATCCCAGCACTTCGGGAGGCCAAGACAAGAGGATTGCCTGAGTCAAGGGTTCAAGACTAGCCTGGGCAACTTGGTGAGACCCTGGCTCTACAATAAATCAAAAAAATGAGCCAGGTGTGGTGGCATGCCTGTAGTTCCAGCTACATGAAAGGCTGTGGTGGAAGGACTGCCGGAGTCCAGCAGGTCGACGTTGGGATGGCTGTGAGCATGCTGCTGCGCACCAGCCTGGGCGACTGAGTGAGACTGACTCAAAGAAAAAAAAAAGTTGGGCAACCTCTTCGGGTCCCCCTCCCACTGTGGGAGCTTTTCTGTCCTCTCAATAAATTCTGCTTTAAAAAAAAAGTTATATATAAAGTCTGCTTGGAACACATTCTTGAAATCTACAAATACATTATATATACTCTTAAAAAGTAATTATTTAGGCCAGGTTCAGTGGCTCAGCCTGTAATCTCGTGCTTTGGGAGGCCGAGGTGAGTGGATTGCCTGAGCCCACAGGTTTGAGACCCGCCTGGGCAACTTGG